ACAAACGGCTGCAACATGTGGCTGTTAACCTTAAAATTTTGCAACCTGTTCCACAAGGTTGAAGTTGGTTTACGTAAAGGATGTTCAAGTTTTTTGTAGTGTTCAGAAATGCACCAGAAGGACATACCAAAATTTTAGCTGCATTTAGCTTCCTTTTGTTCGGTCGGTTGGATGGGACTGAGTCGAATAGGTAGGCTACACGGTCCACCATATCAATTTTAACGCACAACCAATGCACTCCTCTGTAATTGAAAGGCATGTAAATCTACACGTAAACACAACGGCAGACCTTGTTTAGAGGCCATGCAAACATGTAATGGCTTTTGGAACGGCATATGTATCTGATAAGAGCAATTTTGTTAACCTTTATGGATGAATAGACATGTAATTGGGTTGGGGCACAAATACAAATGACGAATGTGACTGTATGATGAACTGTGGGTGTGGAAATCAATGACAGTGGGATAGTACTGATGGAAGGTACAATGCATGTGTGTTGGAAATGCCAAATAATGGACGGTCAGGGGTACTGAACGGATGACTTGGTGCATGCAAGAAGGAACGAATTTTTGCAAGATGAATTCGGCCAGTTTGAGAAATTAATACGAGTTATGTCACAATGCATGAGGTCTTCTGCAAGCATACAAGTCATGTACCATATCTTACAAATACTTACAGCATAGTGTTGTGTAATATTATGAATCTGTACATTCCTTTAAAAAAGTAGTCAGTAAAATAAACCATACACATATTCCTACAAAATGTCCGATTCGAACAAGATTGAAGCTATTGTTGAAGCTCATGTTGCTTCTGTATTCCAGCAGTTGCAAGCTATCTACGAAAGGCTGAATGAAGTGGACACACGTTTGTCAAGTTTGGAGCGGCAAGTCAGTGCTATCAAGCAGAACGTTGATTGGCTGACCGATGACAAATTGGCGGCGGACGAAGCGAAGTCTAATGAGACAATGGATGAGGACAGTCAATCAGACAGTACGGACAACTCTTCAGAAGACGCTGCTGATGATGCAGCAGATATGTAGATTTGATTTATTTTTTTTTTAACCTTCCCTGTAAACCATGAAAGTTTTGTTTTGGCTGGAGTCATATGTGCTAATGGGCTGATATATAACTTACCTACGAAGAGTATTGAGTTTTCATTCATAATGTGGTTTATTTCATTTTTGAAAATTAATTTTCCCTTTTTTGTAATTAAATTATAAATTAACTTCGGTAGCAAAAGCAGCCGTAAATTATATACAGTTACAGTCGCATTCATCCAAACAAGAAACATGCGTAAAGAAAATAGTATTAAGTCAGCAGCCACATCGACATGTTTGATCCATGTTTACATTTGACTTGCACTTTGTAGTTGGTCCATATTTACATCGTCTAGCAAAAACAATACTGGGGAGCCATAATTAACATCCATATTGAAATCAAAGAATAAAAAATTAGTTAAGTCCTATTGCCACTCAAATTACTGGCCTACTGGCAGCCCATTCCTATCACTGGCCTAGCTTGTGGCATTGCTCATATGAAGGCACTCCTGGTACTCTGCGATCTTTGCATTATTGACATCCATAACGATGTTAACCAACAACTTATGACGCACAGAGGGAGCGAACTTTGTACAGAAAGATCATAAGACAAATCAGTTAAAATTGCAAGACATACGAGGAAGGATTTGATTGACAAATGGAAATTAAGCGGTAGAATGTACCTTGTGTGGACCGGGGCTTAAATCAGGTTGCTGCATGAATTTGATGACGAACATCCCACAGTCAAACGTGCTACAAAAATAATTTCACATTAAAGTTGTCGTCAATACTTAATAGGTTCGTTAAGTCAGTCATGCAGCATAGACGTTAATGTGAGGGAGGGATTGTGGATTACTCGTCCAGTTGTTGTACTAGCCTCTCATCTAACATGCAGCGATGGAAGCTACGCACGTCTGTAACATAATCATTTCCAAAGTGTAGTTGCAACAAGTCGTGTATAGTTTGAACCTGTTCCACAAGGTTGAAGTTGGTTTACGTAAAGGATGTTCAAGTTTTTTGTAGTGTTCAGAAATGCACCAGAAGGACATACCAAAATTTTAGCTGCATTTAGCTTCCTTTTGTTCGGTCGGTTGGATGGGACTGAGTCGAATAGGTAGGCTACACGGTCCACCATATCAATTTTAACGCACAACCAATGCACTCCTCTGTAATTGAAAGGCATGTAAATCTACACGAAAACACAACGGCAGACCTTGTTTAGAGGCCATGCAAACATGTAATGGCTTTCATATTTTCGTTTTAATATAACGGGATGAACATTGATATTACCCTCTGGCATGCATCAATCGCACCAGTGTATCTGTCATGTCCAAAAAATGATGTGACGATATGTTCATGGTGCAGAGGTTGCATATCTTTATTTAGAATCAAAGTCTGCATGTGTAATGCATAAAGGTCATTGACGGAAACATTTGCCAAAATATGTCATACACAATACACAACGTAGCTTTAAACACTTACTTGCCGACAGATATACGGGAAAGAACCAATCATTGTGCCTCCCGTCATTGTGTAAATCCCTCTGTCGATTAGTCAATTACACCACCACCAAGTTGATTGGCTAGAACATTGTATGCAAGACATAAGGCAAGTTGATTAGAAAGGTTTCTGAGTTAGGGGTACTGAAAAATGCAGATTCATATTTGTGCAGCCAACACTTACAGTGTCGGATAGCCACGACCCTGGTTTGAGCGTGCGCATGTCATGCTGGGTGCCAACTTCACATGCCCGTCCATGAAGATTCATGGAAACAACAATGTCCCTATAAGTAATAAATGATCCTTAGAACGATAGTTATTTCACAGTGGACTGTCATTTAAAATTTACAAGTAGTAAATGAAACAATATATTTCATTTTTGCTATCGTCAAATACATAGTGAAGAAGTTTTTGTTCCTCCACCGATAACAACCCCTCGCTGTCCAACATCGTCAACGAGTCCTACAAAAATAAACAGCCAACTAACAGTACACATTTCATAAAAATATTGAAGCTTACATTACAAGGTCGGTAGTTATAAAAAAGAACGTGAAATGATGTAAAAACTGTGAGCCTCAGAGTTTTCCCAACTTGTGATGTTTGGTGCGGAGTTTGTTAGAAATGTGTACTAACATATGGCAGCAGCCATAACTGCAAACATGCAATTCTTTGACAACTAGTACAATACAACACAGATGATTGTAAAATTACTGATTCACATTATTGATGTGGGCATGAATTGGGTATTCACAACTTGTGGGGCATTAAAGACAGTATTTGTACCTTGTTCACGTTGTCCACACCATCAACATCCACAGGTGAACTGCTGTCGTCAACTCCACTATTTGTTTTGCTATCGATGCACAATTGCATATCCCCGACCTCAGTGGCTTGAACTCCACTTCCGCACATTTTTCCTTTTCCTTTTCCTTTTCGTCTTCCCTTTGCACTTCTTCTAACGATTCCAGTTGCTCCCAATGGTTTGCCAAGCTTAGTAGGAGAAGTATGCACATCGCACGCCACGTTCTTCACGCCCACTGACTGAAGGTCAGGACTGTATTTATCTTCAGTTTCATATGTTTCCCCTGACTAAAGGCCTCCCTTCTTGTTGTTGTCCCCACCTTCTTCGATGTTCAGCTTGTGCCCATCATGCAAATGACTTTTGTCCCTTGCCAAGGTTCCCTTCAAAATCTGTTGTTGGTGATCCACCTCTTGTACATCTGAAATATTACACTCCATTGGGTTAACTTCGTCAGATGGTTTGACCACACCATCCTCATGCGCCTCGACTCCAACAACAGGGTCCATACCCTGTTTGTCCACGCCTGCCAGCTGTGGTCTAGAGAATATACCTTCGATGAGGTGGTGTAGCATTTGCTTCAGTTCACGTAAATTGGTTTGTTCAGTAAACGGTTCGTTGCAGCCCAAACTGAAACGTTGAAGCAGTTGCTTCAGCATGTCCTTCAGTTGAGCAACATTGGAGGAGAGGTTAATGATACACACATCATTGCCTTCCACCTAATTATACATACACATTCGTGAACTTAGTCTTACAAACCATCTTCAAATGATGTGGCTCAACTGTGTGAAAATTGCGTAATGCTTGGATGGATTACCTTGTCATTGCGAACAACTTGCTTGCCTTCGAAATGTCGCAACATCTCCATTAAATCTATTTGGTTGTGGAGAACTTGCTTCATCATTTCCTTCAGTTCACGAATGTCGGACTCCAAATTGCTCATACGGACTTCATTGTACTGTCCTGTTTGTTGGTTCTCGACATGGCATGCATCCATGTCAGCATCATCGGCGTCGCTTTCATTGTTACTGTAATCAAACTCCACCTAATCATAGAAACGCATAAATGAAGTCTGACATTGTATGTTGAAGACAAGTGGGCTGATGGTGTGAAATGTGCACAGTGGTAGGAGTGCTTACAGCAATTGTTGGGAAATTTTGCTTCCTTCTGATACGTCGCAGCGTCTCCCGTATTTGGGTATCACCCCAATCATGAAGCCGAGGTGTGGACCGCGTCGTAGTCGAGCTCAGACAAACACAATCAAGGTACAACAGCTGTGGACATTAAGGGGCACACCATAATTAAGTTGTTCTTCCCACAGAAATGAACTATATTCAGTAACAATGACATTCATTATTCTCAATTTTGCAGTGGAACGTACATAGCATACCGATTTTGTTGAGGATGCTGTCAACTTTATAGGCACATATCATGCAATGTTTTTTGGGGAAAAAATTGTACAGCACACCAAGGACTTTATTGATGAAACCAAGAAAAAAAATTTATGTACATGTTCCCCTCTTCGCAACGTAGTTTTAATTGGTTCCTCCATTGAGGTTCAGCATACTTTTTGCCCTGTACTCTTTGTTCTTAAATTCATGACGGTAGTCACACAAAATTTATTTCTGCAAGTACCATACTTGGTCAGGAAGAGTGCTGTTTGTCGTACTCACAAAGCAGGTACCATTGTATGTCCCAATCAAGGCCAATTTGTTGAACCATGACAGAACAATGCATGAAACACATGAAGGGGGGAATGGAAAAAAAAAATTCAAGGTATTGGCATACCATTAGCAGGAAAACACATCCAGTTGCACCGCGATGACCTTTATACTTGCGAACACCGTTGTGAAGGAATTGCAGTGTCAACTTTGCCCAATTACAAGCTCGCATACGATTCACGTCCTTCACGGCATGAATGAACGATGGCTTCAACCCGGTCATTGTGGTAGGACACAACATGGCCCCCAACACGTACAGCGCAAATTTCCGCCGAAACTCGTCCTCCGCACCAGCAGTCTCGGTCAGATAAAGTCTCAACTTGTTCAAAGGAATGACTCCGTTAACAACTCCAACCTCATCGTAGATATTGGGATATGCTTCCAATGACCCAGCCAACTGCACGTCATCGCCTTCACACCGTATTCCCAATAAAACATTAACTGCCTTACACGTGAGCCTGACTTGACAACCATGAACATTCAATGAACTACTGTCAGGATCGAAGTTCTGTACCAACCATGCGCACAAGTCGTGATCTATACGTGTACACTTCATCCCCAGGAGGCCAGCAAACCCAATGTCAATGACTGCCTGCTTTTGTGCTTCGTTGAACCGGTTAACTAGCTCAACAATTGACTTCAATGATATGCGGAGTTGCCTTTTACCCTGCACATTTTTTACCCTTAAATTAATACAAAAATACAACCAACAATGTCAGCAAAGCAGGACCTAGCCAAATGCATTTACGAAAACATGAAGTACGTAATGACCTTTTCAGACTTCGGTGCACATGGTACTACTTTGGCGTGTTCCTCAGCGCTCGCCTTAGCCATTTCGACAAACCTCTTTTTCTCATCAGAGGGGAGTGCCTTCCACCTTTCCCCAATCTCCTTTCTAGTCTTTAACCAAGAAAATGACAGACGTACAAGACAAGTAACAACTATGAGTCCGAAATTACTGTAACTACAACTTTATGCCAAACGCAATCCGCGTGCATTGTTGCTAATTAAATAAGATTGCAAATACAAATAACAGTTGCAGCAAAAAGTCAGCGACAAAACGTAGCTGGACTTTTACAACGAATTGAAATTTACAAAAACAATAGGAAGGTGACATTATTACATGCTACAATCCTACAAACGCGAAACAATCACAAGCCCACTACGACCATTCAATACAACGTGTGGATAGCAACCCAGCGATGTGTTTCCATCATACTGTATTATAGAGAATACAGATTTCAACACTCACCATTTTTCGTCGAGTGTTGTCTGGCCCTTGCATTTCCTTGAATTGTTGCTGGCTGCATGCAAGCATCGTCAAGCTTATCATCACTAAATGTGAAATATGAATACATATATATATATATATATATATATACAAGTTTTTATGTCAAGTTGGCCCCGAAATCGGCATAAGACAGCTTTCGTACATCCGGGACTGAATCGACACCAACTTAAACATTTTCAGACATGCAGAACAAAACCAATTTGAAACATCACAAACTGAACTTCGACGAGGCGCGTAATTTCAGTACGAAATATGTAATTCCAGATTGTCAAAATAAACAACTAGTACCTGTAACAAATGAATGGTGCAACTGGCCGCTTTCGACAAGAGCCAGCGATAGTGTCAGACATTTGGATATGTTG